AAAAGACGAATGCAACCGACCAGATAGAGAAGCGATGGCAAGATAAACCGCTTCATGGCCAATACTCTGCCCGTACCAAACAAGCTGACGTAGACAAAACCCGTACTCATCAGTGGCTACGTAGTGCAGGGTTGAAAGCAGAAACTGAAGGTTTTATCCTTGCTGCGCAGGACCAATGCTTGCTAACTAGGAATTATCAAGCACATATACTAAAATATTGTGTCAGCCCAAAATGCAGATTCTGTGATAAATATCAAGAAACGATTGATCATCTTGTATCAGGTTGTACGGTGTTGACACCCACTGAATATAAAACCCGACTTGACAGAGTGGGCCAATATCTGCACTGGAAAATCTGCAAGTTCTACGGGAAGAAAACTGAAAGAAACTGGTATGAACACCACCCAGACCCGGTTACGGAGATAGGACCTGTTACAATTCTATAGGACTACACAATACACACTGACAGAACAATCAAGGCCAACCGCCCAGATATTGTTATTAAAGACCACAAACAAAAACGGTGCCTCCTTATTGATATGGCAGTCCCTGTTGGCTGCAATGTATCTTTGAAGATATTCAAAAAGTTGTCAAAATACAAGGACCTTGAAATAGAAATCTCGAAAATGTGTCATATGGGAACAACAACAATCCCTGTTGTAGTTGGAGCCTTAGGACTGGTTGGAAAAGATTGCAGTAGACTAATTGAAGGGATTCCTGGAAATCCATGCCTCAAGGAGATACAAAAAATTGTTCTGACAAGTACAGCCCACACTTTACGAAGGGCTTTATCTATGTAATTTTTTTTTTTTTTGTCAGTGGAAAGTGTCATGACGCCATACCTAACATTAGGTCCCTGGGCGGGACCCGGAAAGAAATGTGTAAACGCCAGAAATCAAAGAAAATAAAAATGATAATAATAATAATAATTGTACTCACAAGTACAGCTCACATATTGCGAAGAGCTTTATCTATGTAAAATGTGTGATCATAGTCTTGTTATTTTTCCAAAGATGATCTGTTGAATACGCCATGAAGCCATATCTTTCCTAAGGTGTCTGGTATAGGATCCCGCGGAAAATGTCTATACATCAGAAATCAAGGTAGTAATAATAATAATAATAATAATAATAATTAGAAGAAGAAGAAGAAGAAGAAGACTGAACCGATATAAGGCAGAGATAAAATTATTTTGCGATAAGAAATCAATGAATATATCGTACGATCGTTGGCGATGTGTTAGTGTGTTGCCCCTGAAGGACCTGAGATCTCTCTCGTGGAACTATGCAAGCAGATGCTCTCATGTCGCAGTTTAAATTGATAGCCAACTCGAAGATTATCAACCCTACTATCTTTATTTCGGATACAATAACATTATCTTATAAAAAAAACAACATCGCTTACTGTTCGTTATAATTGCAGATTTTACAAGATTGTCTGTTTTTGAAAAAACTGTTTTTGTAATAGTTATTTTTTTGTAAATATTCTCGTGAGACAGTAATAAGCCTTCAAAAGTTGGCGCCATTTTTTAAAATCTGACTTATTGATCGAAGTCTTTAATCTGAGCCATTCATTTAACGATACTTCAGCTTTGAGATGTAATCACAATTAGAATCGATAAAAGAAATGTTTCAAGAGATTTTCACTGACAAATCAAAATATTCGAGAGAAAAAAAAAAAGGGCAAACCTGATTTTTCTTTCTGTTATTTTAGAATTATTTGATTTTTTTTTTTCGTTTTTCTTTGAGATTTTTGGAAATATGAAACAAAATGCTGGAAAAATCACCGAAAAGTTAAGAGCAGCTCAAATAGGGTAAAAAATAAAAATAAATAAAAAATAAAAAAAAAAATGAAAAGGTTGTTACAGAAGAAGATAAAAAGAAAGAAGATTTTTAAAAGTTTCTTTTTCATGAATATATATCATGTTTTTCGGAAGTGCGGAGAAGCATTAAAGTTATCGATACGGGAAAGAAAATCGACAACTGATGTTCAAATCACAGCTGAGGCTTAGATTTTGTTCAATAAAAATACAGTATTCCTGCTATAGCTGAGTTGGAATTGTTCTGCCCTCATTTTTCAGAACTGATAGAAAAACACGTGACTATCTACAGCAGGGATTCTCAATCGCCTTTTAAGCGAGCCTCGAAATATTGTCACAGCATACATGTATGTATGTATGTATGTATGTATGTGTGTGTGTGTGTGTGTGTAAGTAGTAATGATACAGCGTTAGTATTTAAATAAATGAATAAGTATGAACATTTTTTTTTAAAGAATTGTTTTCAGTATTTTTCGAATATGTTATTTTAAATAAATTGTCTTAATATTCCATTTTAAAAAAGTATTTTTATTTTTTTAATAAGTATTAATCATTTTTTTCAAATAATTGTTTTCAGTATTTTTCGAATATGTTATTTTAAATAAATTGTCTTAATATTCCATTTTAAAAAAAGTATTTTTATTTTTTAATAAGTATTAATCATTTTTTTCAAATAATTGTTTTCAGTATTTTTCGAATATGTTATTTTAAATAAATTGTCTTAATATTCCATTTTAAAAAAAGTATTTTTATTTTTTAATAAGTATTAATCATTTTTTCAAATAATTGTTTTCAGTATTTTCGAATATGTTATTTTAAATAAATTGTCTTAATATTCCATTTTAAAAAAAGTATTTTATTTTTTTAATAAGTATTAATCATTTTTTTCAAATAATTGTTTTCAGTATTTTTCGAATATGTTATTTTAAATAAATTGTCTTAATATTCCATTTTAAAAAAAGTATTTTTATTTTTTTAATAAGTATTAATCATTTTTTCAAATAATTGTTTTCAGTATTTTTCTAATACGTTATTTTAAATACAGGCCTTAATATTCATTTTTTAAAAAAAGTATTTTTATTTTTTTTAATAAGTATTAAAATTTTTTCACTCAAAAATTTTCAGTATTTTTCGAATATGTTATTTTAAATAAATTGTCTTAATATTCATTTTTAAAAAGTATTTTTATTTTTTTAATAAGTATTAAACTTTTTTTCAAATAATTGTTTTTAGTATTTTTCGAATATGTTATTTTAATACATTGTCTTAATATTCATTTTTAAAGAAGTATTTTTATTTTCTTAGTAAGACTTAATCTTTTTTTTTCAAATAATTGTTTTCAGTATTTTTCAAATGTTATTTTAAATACATTGTCTTAATAAACATTTTTAAAAAAAAGAATTTTTATTTTTTTTAATTTAACATTTGTTTTTTTACCCATGGCTCCCTTTTCCCCCTTTTTTTATCTTGGTGGACCCCTTAATAGCTATTTGACATAAGACAACAATATTCTATTTTTCACTAATAGATATCTTGAGGTTTTAATAATCAAAGAAATATTATATAATTAAGCTTTATTTTTAAATGAAAACTAATTTAATGCAAATAAATTATTCTACAACAACAACAACAACAACAATAATAATAATAATAATAATAATAATAATAATAATTACAGTAATAATAATTTTTATTGACCAATATCTTGTATTACAATATTACGATGTCTCTTCCATGGTCAAGGCCATTGCGAGCAGGCAAAACTCTTCAGGGAATTGAATTCACTGCAGTATTTATTTATGCATACTGGTTAAAAAATTTTATAAACCAATTTAATTTAGGTTTGTAATTAGAAAAAAAAAGAAAGGCATATTTATTCAATGAGATGCCTGTGGTTGATGCTGCTCATCGAGTTGCTTTATATCAGGTTCCATCGATGTTAATGACAGTCGAAGATCACCTCTTTTCACAATGTCAAGTATATTGCGAACTTTTGATAACAGTCGAGAAACACGACTAAATCCCGATTCAACAAGATAAGATGATGGAAAAGCAATAACAAAAACTGTGCTTTATTTTAATAATAAAAACCATTCTCGGTTTACTTTCTTCACAGACCAAAAAAATATCATTGTAGACCTCCAGTTTGTTATATCTTGTCTGTGGACCCTCAGAAATATTACATAGATCCCTAGGGACCACGTGAACCCCGGTTGAGTTTAACTGATTTAATTGAATATTAACATTTTTTTTCATATAATTGTATTCAGCATTCGTTGTTTAATTCCAAATTTTTACAAAGTTATATTGAATTAGGAATTAGTATTGGTGAGGTTTCCTACATGCAGCATTGAGCATTTGATTTAATAATTTTCCAATTTCTTAAAAGTATATTACTCTGAAATTTGAGTAAGAAGGAAATTACATTAATTGTATTCAAATTGTGGTTATTTTTATAGTAATATTTTACTGCACTTTCGCGCACCCGTAATTTGAAATGTAGCACAAATTCAAGGGAGGACAATCAGCGTATTATTTTAATTAAAATACGTCCGTACATTTTTTGGGTGGGTACCCTTAGTAGACGGCAATAAAGGCAGTTCAAACATTAATCGGTTGAGAACTGGTTTTTGTACACCCCTTCAGAGTTGATTAGTCAACAAACACAGGCGATCCCATTATTGATTTAAGTGGACCGGGTGGCCATAGAGGAAATGCATGTATGGAATTTAGCGTGAGGCCTCATTGAGCGTCATTTCTCTATTACTATTCGGATCTCCATTTCTGTTCTATCCTCTATACTATACGAACCGCTATTCTCTATTCTATTCACTATGTTATTCTTCTAATCGGATCATTCTACGGGTTACAGGTCGAGCGAGTATTATCGAACAAGTACTGTTATTGCTAGTGTAAGATTATTCGAAGGCCTCTAACACCAGTATTGTTCAACGGCGTACTATAGTTCTATCTTCGATTACCTAGGCTCTACTACGTCGAGCATTACGAAAGTGTCAAACGAATATTCGTTGACATCACAAGTGTCAAACGAGTGTTCGTTGATATCACAAAAATTTCCTAAGTGTATTTGCGCGTAGGTTAATATAACGACCCCAGCTGGAATCGAAACTCGATTCTCCGATTTTTAGCCGTTATTAATTCCACCACCGCACATCCAAACTTACAGCACATAATATTTCCAAACTGTCACCCGTCTAGCTACGGACTAGGCTCGATGTTGCTTAACTTCAGTGATCGTACGAAAACTGGTGTTTCAACGTGATGTAGTCGTAAGCCTTTTTTCTTTTCTTTGCCAATAAAACGCTATCGATTTTGGTAATTTCCAGGACATTGCATCTTAATATTTCAAGGACAATACTGATGTATGTTAACTATCATCATAATAATTATTTCATTCATATCAGACAACATATTCATCGTCAGCATCTTAGCAACATTCCTCCAGCTTGAGTGGCTTTCAATTCTTTTATTGACTGATGATTTCAAAATAATCTATTAAAAATACAAAGATGTGTTCTCGCGGGCAAGCAAGCAAAACTAGAACGCTCAATCAGGCAAATCTCCCGCCCATAAAAAAGCGTCCAGGAAGTAATAAATGGAATGTATTTTTTATATCCATTGTTACACTTCAATGGGGACAACATATGGGATCCTCCGGAGCATAATGTCGTTATAAAAAGATTGGAAATATTTACGTTAGGTTTGATTTGTATATTTAACATTTCCACACATTTTTCTATTTAATCATTTCACACAAAGCATGGCCATAATAGATAGCGGCTCGTATTGAGGAATCGGAGAGTCGAGTTCGAATTCCACTCGAATCCATTACATTCACTTACGTGCTAATACGCTTGGGAAAGGTATGGATCCTCTTCTTCTTCTCCCAGCTATGGGTAAAATAACAGGACAGACCGGGTTCTATACTCTTGCGCTGGCAACTGGTCTACCGCAGAAAGAAATAGCAACCTACTGCGCGAAAAATCTGCCTCGTCAGTCGTGTATCACTCATGGAACATAACTGACTGATGGTGATAATTCCACTAAGCTGCAGAGGTTTACTGAGACTAACAGAGAAGAAAGATGAAACCCAAACCTCAACAGGAAACAAGTGATAAAAATCTATTCTTTAGACGGGGTCATTCAATATCGATGTCACCATTTCTATTGTATTATTTTATATATATATATATATATATATATATATATATATATATATATATATATATATATATATATATGTTTGAAATTTTTAAAATCATTTATTTGAAACTTTTAAAACCATATATTTTATATTCAATATCATCACTTGATGAGACACCGGAGGTGTTGAAACAAAATGGCTATTTTGTAGTGATTTTTAACATATTCATATTATAATTATTAAATAAATAATTATATATATATATATATATATATATATATATATATATATATATATATGTAAAATCAGGTATTAAATATATAATTTTATAGATAAAAAATATTAATGAATAAATAATTACAATGTCAAATCTTCTCATTAATTATAGTGAAGAACAGTAGAAAGTCTGTTAAAATGTTTTTTCATGAATATATTAATGAAGGTAAATAAAAGTCGCCCATTTTGAGACTATTTAATTTCTTCTGGAAAGATCTTAGGGCGCATGCGTTTCTCATTATCTCAACCAAAGCAGCACCAATGTAAGATCTTAGTTAGCAATAGAAGGTGGTAGGATTATTGAGATTGTGCAGTATGGTAAGACAATGGCAGCAGATCTTTATCGTCAAGAATAAGTGAAAAGAGTAAAGTTACGAAGAAATTCACTAATTTGGTAAGCGGAAATTGTATCATTCTTCAAAATTGACAAGTCAATGACTCCAAAAGCAAACATTAAAAACACAAATGAAGGTGAGAATTCATTGGATTTAAAACCTTGAAAAATATCATTTATTCAGTTCAGTGCATTTCGTTTCTTCGTGGCAAAATTCCAAGAAATAGGAAAGAGTATAATTTAGTAATCAAAATTCTTTTTTTCCAGAATTGTAGCTTCCTGACAAGGAAAGAAACAGATTAGCAGGAGTCCATTCTGGCAAAGTGGCACTGTAATAGCCTATCAAGGGATGGACATATTAATATCGACTGTCAAAACGCTTATCTATCTATCTATCTATCTATCTATCTATCTATCTATCTATCTATTTCTTTCTTTCTTTCTTTCTTTCTATCTATTTATCTCATTCTGTTTGTATCTATCTGTCTTATTCTGTTAGTATCTATCTATCTATCTATCTATCTATCTATTTCATTCTTTTCTATCTATCGCATTCTGTTTCTATCTATCTATCTATCTATCTATCTATCTATCTCATTCTGTTTCTTTCTTTCTATCTATCTATCAATCTCATTCTATTTGTATATATCTCTCATTCTGTGAGTACCTATTTCATTCTGTTAGTATCTATCTATCTATCTATCTATCTATCTATCTATCTATCTATCTATCTATCTCATTCTGTTTCTTTCTTTCTATCTATCTATCTATCTATCATTCTGTTAATATCTTTATATATATCTATCTTATTCTGTTAGTATTTATGTAGCTAGCTATCTCTGTTTATTCATCTTTATTCTCTCTCTTGTTGTTTCATCCTGTGCGGGTCTATCTACTTCTTGTAAGCATAGTAAAAATGTAACACATTTAAGGCATTCTACCTGCTGTAGATATCCGTGCATTTTATAAAAAGTCAATCTACTATAAAGCTAATCCCCAAAAGTACGTTGTAGACAAATGTTTTATATACTTAAGTATATGTCAAAACAAACATGTTTGTGCCTGCTTTTGACAGAACCAAGAAGTTCTCCTATTGCTGTAAAAAGAACATCGGAAAAGCCACTGAACTGATTTTTCCCATCACGAAGGTTCATGTGAGTCCGTTATGCTGAGGCAGGCTATAGGTTGAATAATCTATCAGCAATGCGAAGCACACACCGACGGAATCATCACCAGAACTTTAAGACTACCCACAGAAAATATCTACAGCGTGTGTATTTGTAGACTCATGTATAGATGCCCAATATTTGCTTAGACACTCAATATAAACTCGAGCAACTTTTGTCTATTGACTTAAGTATAAAATGACCAGTGCTAACCTATAGACACAAGTATAAACACATTCAATGTTTACCTTAATACTAAAATATATATATAATGTTTATATATAGACTAAATTATAAATACGAAAAAATTTATCTTCCACATTAAAGTATAAAAACAATCAATAGCAAATGTACAGTAAAGCATAAACAGCATCAATAGTAACAGATGGACTCAAGGATAAACACGCCCAATTTTTAGAACGTCAAGTACAATAAAAACAGGTATAAAAATTAAATAACCCAGCAGATGTGATATGTTACAAACTCTACCAACCGAACCGAAACGTTCATATCTTTAATATCTAAAAAGAAAAAAACGAGTGTAGAAATCGAATTTCAGTAATACGTGTATATCCATATAAATTTCTAAAAAGTTTCGTAGCGCCCACTTGACGCAATGTCAAAGGTTCTGGTGTCGAACCAGATTAGACCGAACTTATTTGAACGACTCGTAGCACGGTCTTATTCTCAAAATCTGGACTTTGCGTCACCAGCGTAATCTCAAATGAACAAGAAATGCTCTCGAAGTGAAGAATTCTCCATTAAATGACAAGACATCGAGTCGTTGTCTAAGAACAGGAAACTGGCAGCTTACGTCAGTGGAATTGACACTAGCAGCTGGATTTATTTGATAACAAAATGACAGTCACTTTATAACAATATCCTGTTTCGTAAGTTTGTATATTTTTGACAAAAGTGTGTGTTAGATAAACGAGTTCGAATCCTGGCCATCATTATTTTTATATGGAAGCATGTTTTCGTTAAATGAATGACTTTACTGGTCTCTGTTTCTTCGCAGGAGATATTAGCATGTCTCTTCAATGGTATGCCATAATACCTAACGAAGGAAAGAGAGTGATAATTGGGTAAACTAATACCATGCAATTTCTTCTACTGTTCAGACGCTAGCTGTAGAAGATCCTGACATGTTGTGTCTGACGAATTTGTGCACTTTTTTTTTTTTTTAATGCTTTGACTGACGGAATGTGATGTGCGATTAATGAGCATTTATATTTGCTTGCGTGTTCATATCACGTCGGGTCAGCAAATAATGGAGGATAATAATACTACATCACGTCGGGTTGACTCAGATAATGTGTGTGCCATGGAAGATTAGTTTATTCTTCCATTTGCATTTCCCTCCATTATATTTTATATACATATATACACTTGTCCCACGCAAAGAAAATATAAAACATTTATACAACAACAAGTAGTGTGAAAAGGAAACGAAAAGAGTCTTACGTATAGTAATTATCAACGCGATTTAAATTTGCCAGAGATTCTTCTGTTTTTATGAAGAAGCCATATTTAGGATTCTAGATCCGTGCCGGATTTATTTGCTATGTTACTAGCGAGGACATAATCATCAAAGGGTAAACCAGAGATACTTTCTATATTTGCTGAAGATATATGCCCATAAGAAGACGGCCCCACCTGCTTGGTGGAGGCAGATTTAATCACAGCCCGGGTTGACGTGCAACACCTCGGTTTGACTCATGGAAGCTGATTGACCGACTGCCACTATCGTCACTATGCAGTGACATTACTACGCATCCGTTACATGATCCAGGAGACTTCATCTCCACCAAATCGATTTTTATATCCTTACAGAACGGAACTGTTACGTAGTCCCGCCCAGATACTTGTTTGTTCCTCGGCAATTAATGTACCAGAGAATTAAATTTAAAGGAACGGTTATTTTTTTTTTAAATAATAACAGACTAGCAGAAACTTGTAATGTTTTACAAATTTTCTTTTAATGTTAATGAACTTATTCTGGAGTTTTGGCATTTGAGAAAAAAATATCTTCTTGCACAGATTGTACAAGTATGTCAAAAGGAAAGCCTTTATCTGCAAAACAATAATAAATAAATTAAATAACAAGCAGACCGCAGCGTTTATAGACTTTGAAATCCTAGCTCAACGTCAAGTTGAAGTCTTACAGGTTCAAGTTCAAGTAAATCTAATGAAAAAGCAAAACCTTATAAAAATTCAAAATTCTAAATCACCCACCCGATTTTTGTAATTAATTAGTTAATTGAAAATTAATCGGTTGAATTTTGGTAACTTTAAAACCAAGTCAACCACTTTGCGATTTAGCTTAATGAGCAGCGTAGAATTAATCCTTTTGTGAGGGGGGTGTATTAATTTACAGATAAATCGAGCCAGAGATAATCTAATTGTTATGGTCCAGGTTAGGACCAAGGAAGAACAACACGAACACAAGAGTAGAAATAACGAAGGTATATTTACACGAAATAATAATACAAGATGTGGAAGGTGTTAGTATGACTGTCAGTCTGGTTTGGAGTGAACTACTATCGGCTCGACTCGATTCGATATTTACTTCCCCCCACGAGGGAAAGATGTGGCACAAGGCCGACTTTTACGTGGGTTTTTTCGGCCAAAAAATGCCCGTAGAAAGTGTAAAAACAGAATCGGGTTGGTCAACCTCCCCGAACGAGACTCTGCTGTTATGCGGCTTGATTCGTCACTTTCTCTTGAAGTAGCATACATGGTGTTAGGAAGAGTTCATTCTGTAGTTATAGGTAAGGACCCATGACGCTAATCGACTAAAAAATGTCCAATGGTGCTACTGGCCGTTCGAGTGAATTCGTACTAATTTCGTAAGTAAAAAAATGAACCCATTTACAACTAGTGTACTGTCTTGACACTGTATCGAAACCCGAACCAAGGCAGCACTCTTGAGTGAAGCAGAGAGGAAGAGAAATCGACTCTGATCTTGGTGCGGAAACACGACAGATGTATGTGTCTACATCTATGTAGACACATACATCTGTGGGGTCTTTTCAATATCTGTGCTTAGAGTTGGTTATCGGTCTCGTATGAGGATTTGTGCGTTTGTAGGGATTTAATGAGTCTGCTGCCGGTGTGTTTTTACTACTGCAGATGTTGCTATATATATATATATATATATATATATATATATATATATATATATATATATATATCATATACACACAAATATGTGTTTCTCTTATTTGGCTGCGTGGAATTACTTCGCCTTCAAGGATATTTTCTACAGATAACCGACAGAAATAGAAGACTAGAATGAGGCCGAATTTGAGAAAGAATCTTTTACATCTATATACCGTATACCGTCAGAATGTGAGTGATTATGGCTCTCTATAACTTCCTGTCTTTTGTATCTCTTAGTAAAATCTTTATTTTTGCTATCCTTACTAACTTCCTTTCTGTTAACTATTTGTGAAAGATCGTTATGTAGTTAATTTTCTCACATATACACCAAACTTTTTCATTGCGACAAAATTTATCTCCACCATAGAAATTAATCATCTAGTCGATCGAATATTCTCGACGAAAATGCGACACCGTAATCGCAAAGAGTATTGTGACAACAGAAGTTGCCTTCTAGATGCCAAGCAAAGTATAAAAAAACAGAAAAGAATCGTTAGAAATAAAAATGGGGAACAGGTATATAATATGAGTCCTTCAAAATAGCATTCACTACCATATAGGAGGACTTATATTACAGGGGTTGGACAAAATAATTGGAACAGTTGTTAAATTCAAAGAAAAATTATTTAATATGGATTTGGTCCTCCTTTAGCCTAACAGACAGCTTTAATACGTCTAGGAATGGAATCCTACAGCTTCCTGACTTCATCCAGAGGAATTTTCAGTCATTCTTTTATTAAAACCTTCTCCAGCTCTTTAGGACACGACGGTGGAGGATAGCGGCTCCTAAATTGTTGCTCCAAAATGCACCACAAATGTTCAATAATATTGATATCTTGTGAGTGGGGAAGAGGCCACTCTGTGTGTTCTAGCTCACTTTCATGCTCGTCGTACCAATTCTTAACCACTCGAGCGGTATGTATTGGGGCATTAATCGTCTTGAAAGATGCAGTCACTATCAGGGAATAAAGTGTTGGCCATTGGATGAACATGATCTCCCAAAATGTTCAGGTAATCTTTGCTGTTGAATCTACCATGCAGGGCAACTATTGGACTGAGACATTTCCATGATATGGCGGCCCAAACTATCACTGATCCACCCCCGTGCTTCACTGTTGGAAGAAGACAGTCAGGGTTGTAAGCTTCTTTGGGCTGCCTCCACACATAAACTCACCCTGAATTTGGGAAAAGAGAAAAACTGGACTTGTTTGAGAATATGACTTGCTTCCATTAGTCTGCAGACCAGGAATTCAACCTTTTTTGAATGTTGCGCGTGGAGAGAAGAGGTTTCCTCACAGCGGCTCTTCCATGATATGCAGCCTTATGGAGCTCACAGTGAAGAGTTTTAGTAGAAACTGAACTATTCAGATGGTTATTCAACTCAGCAGTCACTTTGGTCACATTTGTCCGATGATTTTTTGCCACATTGCGTTTCAATGCACGTCAGTCCCTG